TTCAGCAGTAGATAATTGTGCTTAACCGGCGGCCAAATTAGTATTTTTAAAGCAGCTGTAATTTTATATCGTAAATTATATTAATTCAACGTTTATAATATATTATGTAAGAATTTGCGTATTATTTATTTTAAAAACGAGAGCTAGATTTTTTTTATAGGATAAGGGTGACAAACGAGCACACAGTCCACCTGATGGTAAGTGGTTGCTGCGGCCGATAGACATCTACATCTATCCTCTATTACAAATCAAAATGCAGATGCATTGTCACCCGTAAGGACTAAGATTAAATGCATCATTTCCAGTAAAAAGGGCCTCCGGCCACTTGCACTCACCAAGCGAAACGCAGAGGTAAACCTCTACTTCACGCTGGTATTCTGTGAGGTCGTGGTACCACCCCGGTTCGAGCCGGCCCATCTGTGCGACAGCACCTGTGTGCCGCGTGGCTCTACCACTGTTCGTAATAGATTTCAAGATTGTAATTTTTTGTCATTATTAGATTATTTTTAGAGGAAAAATATTAAGTTCACAATTTCACAGAGATGAGACTTGTCCAAATATAACTTGGTAATATTGTTAGTGACTTATCATCAACTATTGTACGTAAACCGGTCTTTTTTATTATGCATAAATTCAGTAACGGATCCATAATTTTTATGCCACTCTGCATTTAGAGATTGTAAACAAATAACGAAATAAATTTACATATAACGTTTCGTGGCATCATTAAAAGAAAAATTCTAAGTCACCAATACTATAGGTGTAGGCATAGACGATTAGTATAATATTTATGAAACCTGCTTCTAGTAATTTTATTACCAGGGCTAATAATCACTTTCCATATTTTGAATTCTGGTTCGCAAATTTGGACCAGCAGTAGGGCATGGGGTAAGAAGTTTGGAGTATGTCAGCTTTTCAATGCTTTACATACCAAAATCAATATGAATTTAACACTAATATAATATTAAGTTAACAAAATCTTAATAAACAAAATATTTTTTTTAATATATTTTACAAAAATATTCTTAAAGAAAGAAAATCTTTATTATCATTGCCGTCGACCCGAAACAGTGCACAGCTAAAACAAGGTTTAATAGGTTGGGAGGATTTGTCATTTTGCAGATGGATAAAAGATATCTGTATAGTAATATTATGTTAAATTTGAGGATTATTTTGAATTCTCATTTATTTATTTTACAAATACAGAAACACTGACAAAACAATAAAATTGAAATTTATAAAAGAATGTTTATAAAAACAGATAAGAAACACGTTTACATTATATAATATATAAACTTCAATTTAAACAGTATCTATGGGAGCGAATTCCATAATGTTAAAGCTTTCACACAAAATGAGGAAAATGACTTGTGAGCAGAAATTTGAAAAATGAAGCCTTCAGCTAGTCTTGGATCTTTATCTGCCGTACAAACTTAAATTTGTTTTTAGGATCCTTGATGCATTCGGATCAAATAATATCATCTTCAATAATACGAGTAGGTATCATATTTACGAGAAGAGGTGTTTTAGGTAAGTCCCACAAGATTTAGCGTTGAAAATGGTTGTATATAATGAATTTTAAATATCTAAGTCGGGGACGGATGCGGCTTCCAATGAGCAGGACTTTTGGTGCTGCGATTGCCAGTCGAATTGACAACGTGGCAATCATCGCAAGCTGCCCAACACCTGTCAGCGTATGGGCTTATAAGGTCTTTTTAAAATGAATTTGTCATTTCCACTTAAATTTGCGAAAAGAGATTTAGTACGTATAAAATATAAAAAAAATTACAACCTATATACGTCAAGAAGCTGAGCACAGGCCTCCTCTTATTCCTGAAAGAATTATGGAACAATTATTGCACCACGCTGCTCTAGTGCGTGTTGGCTGACTTCACGTCTTCGAAATATTTTTATTTCTCTTATTTTCTTTTGTTTCTCAGGTTTCCTCACGATTTACGATATTTTCCTTCACCGGTGAACCCGTGGTAAATCAGCGCTTAACTATGCATTAAACAATTTCATTGGTCCCGGCGGGGATCGAACGAGTATCGCTCGCGTACTGGTATTTATAGGAGGCGCTTAGCTCTTGAGCTACCCCGGCTCTTTCATGTATTCTATCTGTACTGTTTATTGTAGCAAAAATATGACTACGAGTGAAAATAATATGATTATCATCTTAGCATTATAGATCTCTCATATAATTATTAAATAATATTAAAACCTTTTTTATACGTGGCAGAGCCACACTGCAGCTATATTGAGGCTGTAGCCCGAATTGGTCGACTCGGCCGGTTGAAGGACCCCGCTTTCACAGAATGCCAGCATGAAATAGCAGCTTAACCCTGCTGAGTTGTGTATGGTGAGTGTACAAAACCGGAGATCCTTTTATTTACATGTAACGAGGCATTCCATCTTTGTCCTTAGCGGTAACAACGCGTCTGCATTTTTTAAATTATTAATTTTGATTATTTATCGAGGATATACATGTAGATATCTAAGAGCCACAGCATCAACTTTCCATCAGGTGCACATTGTTTGTTACCCTTATTCTATTAAAAAAATCTTTATAAAAAGTAATTAGATAACTTTTCATTTAAAAAATAATTTATGTTGCCTAGAGCGATTTGCAGATATCCCGTTGATGTCTTTTATAGGGGCTACAGCTTGCTTGTTATCTATAGAGTAAAAAATATCTGTTCAGCTCATACCGTAATTAATTGTATATTATTTAAATTGAGCTAAATAAAAATATATGTAATAAGCAAAGATAGTATCAAATATTTTTTGATTATAGGTGTCTTCAGCCTTTCGTATAAGAAGCGTTTAGTTAACGTATATATATTTTATAACATTACATAAACATAGTATAGCTATGTTACTACAGAACATATTTATAACAAAATTTAATATCTACGTCGAACTATTACTAATTAATGAATAATTGAATTTCAATTGTCGTGAATATTGTGATTATTTACCTTTATGTCAACATCCAACAAAGCACAAGATAACGGTGAAAAATAATTAAGGAATTTTTCAAAAACACAGAGTTCACTGAGTCACAGTCACCTAGTTTATTTTCTGTATAGAAACAATTTGTGTGCTAGATTGTATTTAGCCAGTTAGTCGTTCGAAATTTAAATGTGGGACACATGGACGCGCGAGTGTGGCAGTAGCGTGCAACCGCACACCGACACTGACTCCTTCGATGTGCCGGCGCATTGCACTTGAACGTTGAACTAGCGCCAATCCGGCCGCGGACAAAGAATCACTCGGTAACTTATTCAACTTTACCAGGTCCTTCCGAGCTTTATGTAGTAACACTCGGATGTACATTGCAGTCAAGTCGTGACTCGTGACGAATGCGGGCAACGGATAGCAAACCACAAAACGAAACTATGCTTTGGCTTACCACCAAAATGTTGAATAGCTTAATTGCTCTTTCAATGGTCGATCTCCGAAATCTATAATTTCACTAAATTGAAGCTACTGTTACTGCGACGATGATTCTTTTGAGATACAGAAAATATCTGACAATTGCAAAATTATGACAGAAATAATTTTTTTTTTCTCTAATATATTCCAAACTCTATGAAGCGGCTTTTGGTAAGTTCTATACTTAATATTCACAGCAGAGGGTAGTCGTAATGTATTTGTAAGTATATTTATTTGGTAAAACTTAAAATAAGTATTTACCCATACATATTTATAACGAAAACTTCAATTTAATTAAGTACAGTATATGTGTACAAGTAATTTATAAAAATCCCTATTTCGTAAAGGCTAGCTCAGCACGGCTACGGCTGTAATATCGTCATCCTGCACGTTATCCTAGTCAGGGAGAGTGGCGGCGACCGGACATCGAACCCATGAGCCTGGCCGTGAGCAATAACAAAATAAGGCGTCACGTACACTGCTGTCTAGGATGATTACTTTACTTGTACATTTGAATTAACATGACATTATTGTAATTAATAAAGTTTGTATTTAAAATATTTTTGTTATTTTATTTGTAATAAATTTATGTTTCGAATAATGTAATAAATAGGTATTTTTTTACAAATTTACTACAGATTAAGTTGACTGAAATTATACTGAAATGTAAAATTAAACAATAAATTATTGCTTAATTATTTAATTATATAATTAAAAAATGAAATTAAACAATTAATATAACCCACAGCGTGACACACGCTCATGCGCGCGGATAATGCCCACGCGCTCCTACCCACAAAGACATTAAAATTGGGTCTAGGGGATGATTGACCCCTTAGATCGGTCCGCCTTCTTGTAAAACGTTTTAAAATAGTTGTCTGGCTAACGAATATAAAAATAAAGCTTCAGAATGTAAGTGAAATTGAGTAATTTTTTTGAGAGCTTTAAACCGCCTCCAAAGCAATAATGCCGACGGAGTGTCTGGCAGTATTGAAGACTGATTTTCGATTATCTAACATATACGCAAAAATCAGCTGGGAGAATTAACGTGAGGTGAGCAAAGTTTTTACGTATCTTAATTACCTGATACCTGGAAAATGGATCATAGTACATACTAACACTACTCAATCTTACACATTTCGTTCGTCAGAAAATAAGTGACGTCTTGTGGCCCTGGGATCTTTCCTGTTTAATTCCTCGCCATGCACTATTGCTTATGTTATAAAAATGCGAAATGGCTAATATGAGATTATAAAAAAATGGAACATAGTGATATAAAAACCAGTAATTTTATTTTATTGCAAAGAGTAACATTATAACAAATCCAGGAACTTAAATTGAGTACAATTGTTATGTAAATGTTATTCTCCTACCAAAGATCTTATGCTATTTTTATATTATCGAAATTCCGATTCAAAGGAATCTTACAAAAGACAAAAGCCCTTTAAATCAGATTTCGTTACGAAATACAAGGTAACAAAGGCTCTTATCCATTCAGTAACATTGCCGTCGTTGCCCTGTATTCGTTTGCACCCGCTTATACTATAATCTAAGGCTTTACAATGCTAGTTTTCTTCGTAATGTTTTGATATAGCGTCCAAAATGAACTGAAAGGTCTGAGCGTTCATCCAGCTAAGCCCTGATGGGAGTTCCCCAGATTCCAAACTTCTTGCCTTTCTTCCCACAGATCGCTCTAAAAAGTAGTCGTCGTATTCCATACTGTAGTCTGGCAGGATAGGGTTGAATTTCGCGTAGTAGATAGCTGACAAACATGCGTACAGAAGGACAGCAGCGGTGAAAAGCTGTAAAAAATATATTAACGCGTCATTTTAAGTCATTTAATAAATTGCAATAGTAACAAATAATGTTTCGATATTTCCGAAAGTGCATAAAAACTAAAAGTATTCCTAAAAGTCATTTCTGAAGGAGATTATACTTGGATGGTAGAAGAATATATTTTAAGACTACGGATAAAAAATATTGTAAAAATGTAACATGATCTTCGTTTAAAAAAAATAATGTTAGCTCTTATTTTAAATTAAAAGTTAAATTTTTTGATCCATTCGAGTGGGCTAAGGAACGTCACCGTGTAGTGGTGGTGTAAAAATATACACTACCCCATGTCGTAAGAGGCGACAGAGGGAAGCAAGCCAAGAGCTGGGCAGCAGTGTCTGCTTAATTACAGCTAAAAACAAAAAACTACTCTTGCCAACCCGCCTGCCAAGCGTGGCACTATGGCAAATATCCCCCTATCAGACAATCTATGAAGGAGGTCTATGTCCAGCAGTAGACTTTTATACGCTATAATGGAATATTGCAAGTTACAAGTTTATGGTAATAACAAAAATGTGGTCTAACTAGTTATATTAAAATTTCATCCCCTACCATCATAGCCTTACGAGTAGAATTTTTCTCTAAATTTGTATGGTATCACCCCTGATAACCTATATTCAACCTTTACCTAAGTAATAAAAACTATAATGAAAGTCAGTTCACAATTGACGAAGAAATCATGAAACATACACACAAATAAAAATTATTCAGATAAATCTCATACTACGCTATATGCTTAAATGTTCCCACAGATGCATCAGCTTTTCGGTCGATTTTATATTTATAAAGTTGGCATTACAAATTTAAAACACGTGGATGTTTTTTCTTTTAATATAATAAAAACTATTAGATTTATTGAGTTTCATTTTTGTAATATTGGTGACTTTACTTACATATACAATTACTTGAAAAAAAAAAGACAGAAATAAACTGTTATCAAATTAATACTAAGTTTAATCACTCAGAAATGTTTTAACTACTATGATTAAAATAATATTTTTTTAAATCCAATTATATATTCAGCATCTTTTGTAATTCGGCACATTGTATTGATATACGTACACGCCGCGTCGAAGTGCATGAACTTGACTTTCATTGATGGTTCCTGCACGGAGCATTTGTACAGATAAAACGATAGCTAAATGTTAATACAATATAATCCAATATTAAGCTCTTATCGGTTAAATATGGTTATATATTGGGATGTCGTAATCGCATATTTTAACCACAATCAAAGTTACTTTCTGCCTGAATAAGAATTTTATGGCGAGCGCTTATGACTAAAACTTAGCGGCCTAACTAAGACACAAGGACTTTAACTAAAAGTACGTCGGAATGAGGTTCTTAAAAACTGTAAAGATATATGACCATAATTCTTGATCACGTTAATTAAGAAATTCAATTGAAAAATATGAGTTAAAACTAACAACTCGCATATAAAAAATTATAGAAGTAATCAAATAACAGTCTATTTCGGAACAGTCCGCTTCTCATTTCTAAAAGGGTTAGCGCAAAAAAGAGTGCGCCGCACTGCTTCAAAGGATTTCAGAAGTCCGCTAAATACTCCAAGTTTCTCTGGCATAGATAATTCGAATCTTAGATAAAACCGACAGTTATAAAATACCAGAAGAGCATAGTTATTTCCGAGAAAATTACTAAAATAAGTGCATGCAATTCTGGAGTACTTTAAAAATATTCGATTCTAAAAGGATTTCTTGTTCTAAAGTCCGTAAGAGTCTACTGTTACGGGCACTGGAGAGACACGGGTCTCTCGAGTTGCAGAGATCACATTTGGCAGGCGAAATGACGATCTTTGGTAACAGACGTCTTGTACCTTAGACGCTGCTTTCGCCTGTCTGGCGTAAACGAAATGGTTTACTGCCATCTGTTGGAAGTCTTAAAAAATCTCGCAATTCACACAGTTACCGCCGTTTTTTTATGGAAGAGGAGGCAAACGAGCATGCGGCTCACCTGATGGTAAGTGATCACCGTCCCCAATGAACATTCGCTACACCAGGGGATAGGTGTAGTGATAGATTCCCTTACACCGCTAGCAAAAATGTATATGTAAAGTTTTTTAACTTGTTATTTTGCGACTGTATATGACTTTGCAATAACGATAAAAGGCTTTTGTTACAAACATTAATTGCAATTTGTTTGTTTGACAACTATTTTTTCATGTTGGCAATAGCTATGTTAATGCTAAAATTAGCTATGAAATCAGTTTGACGGTGGTTCACCCCCGTGCCTCGGTAAGCACGTAAAGTCGTTGGTCCTGCGCCTGATCTATCTCCAGTCGTGTCGGTTTGCCGTCCCATCGGACTATGTGAGTGAGGGAATAGAGAGTGCACCTGTGCATGCGCATACTCTCGAACACCGTTGAGAATGGCCGCCGTGGCCGAAAGGTATGGAGGGCATTACTTGTAACTACCTGTATAAAATACTATTTATAAATAATTTTGCTTAGCTTAATTTCATAACTATTGCTAGCATTTAATTACTTACTTGCTTATCTTTTGTTACATCTATTTAATTCACTATATTTCTACTTATTTGAATATTAAAATAATTTGTGTAAATCTTTTTATCTCATTCGATGTCTATGATGGCCGTAAAGAAGTCTTCGTTGTACACAATTCAAGCACGGTTGAACCCTCCAACACTCAACATTTACAGACCCACTGTGGATGTTTAGAGAGAGGTAAAATGGTTCTGGAATGTTATGACGCACATTTGTGACACAAGCATAAAAATGGTCAAGCCTTAACCTCTAAAGCGTCGAATGGTCCTAAATCGTATATTTTCTATCTTATCCTGTTTTCTTAAACACTGCTAAATTATGTAATAAGTTTATTTGGTGCTACAACTTTAATTATATATTTTATTTCAAACTTAATCTTAAAACAAATAATTAAAATACAGCTATCACTTCTCGTTTTTTTCTCTCTTTTTTCTTTTTCCGTGTGATAAAACTCAGGGTGAAAATCGAGCACACAGTCCACTTGATGGTACGTCGCATGAATGGATGATGAGGCCCATAGACACCTACACATTTACACTTTTACTCGATTAAGAATAAAAGAACAGATGTGTACCCGTGGAATGCCTCATTACAAAATAAAATCGAAGCGATTCCGAAGCGAACGTATTAGAGTATACAGATGCAGCGTGGATCTTTCTTTAATTAAATTTAACTTTAAACTGTGTTATCTCTTAGAAAACTGGCTAGGTGGAAAAGCTTACTTTCTGCCTTCGAGTACTTCATGGTTTCTATTTATTTATTTATTGGTTCACTAACATTTGTTTACACTAGTACATAGATACGTAATAACTATGCACTTGATGTAACAAACAATTTTAGGTTAATACCATATGGTAACATACCTTTAGTGAGATGTGGATATATAGGTAATTCATAAAAAGATAACTAAGAGTAGTTATAAGGCAAAATCAGTAAGCTATCGAAAATAAAATAAAAACAATATTTAATTGACGGTTTCGTGGCGTAGTGGCCTAGCAATGAGTTGTTGCGCTGGGGGCCGCGGGTTCGAATCCCGCACGGAACAAATATTTGTATGCCCTACAAGTAATTGTTCCGGGTCTGGATGTTTGTCCTCGTGCAATGAGAAAATCCTAGTGTGGGGGTAACGTTTTTAAAAAAAGAAAAAAAAATTAATTATATAGGCGCTTAAACACAACGAACAATGTTGGGTGAGTCGGCGTGGATATCCACTTGGTCACTACATTTATTCATCACTACATTAATTCAGCCTTGAGATTAGAGAATTTGTTCCGAACAATGTTTTGGGGTTGGTACTAGCGTCTCAGTTATTTCTCCTGCCAAGTAGTAGTGTACTTACAGCTATGTCATGGTGCTAAGAATAATAGAGCCAGAAGTATTACGGGCTATAAGCGTGTCATTTTAGTCTTTAAGAGAGACAACACGATCGTGGTCTTCTTTTTTGTTGAAGTTTATGTGCTGAATTGAATTCTTTCTATCAGGAAGAAATGTTAGCTAGATTATCAATCTAATAAAACCCTCCCACAACAAAGTACTAAACCATACGAAAACTACGAAACCATATTTTTCTTCATTACTTAATATGCAAACAAAGTAGTTAAAGCGAAATTTTACTAGTATGGTTATCACGCTCAAATCAATTTAAAATTACTTAAATTAAGCCTCTGAAAGTAAAAGTAACTTTGCTCTTTATTGATACAAAGTCTAGGTTTGTTCAGCAACCTACGATAGCTAAAAGAATTGTTCGATACAAATATCCTGTAACTACTTTTACAAAATGGTAATTATTCACTTACGAAACAAAATGTAAGAGAGTCATTTGTTAGAGTCAGTATGCATCGCACAAAAAATTTAAATAATTATTGTAATCACGTATTTTGTGCTTGAGTTATATATGCTATATTACTTTACTGTGTTCATTTGATACTAAACTCAATATCACGAAACGCACGAGTAATAAATTCACGGCCACACTATATGAGTAGAATTAAAATAAATTAGAGATGTTAAATTTTTGAATTTTTTGAACATAGTTGCTGAGTGATGTTTGTTACACTGTTAGCGTTGCAGTCTATTAAAGTCCACTGCTGAACTTAGGCTCCCCCATAGACTACCTCACAGGGAGTATAATACTCGTATTTGCCATAGTTGCCACGCTTGGGAAGTGAGTTGGCAACCACAGTAAAGCGGCTATCTTTACCGCGCTAACTGATAAAAAGCGGTAAAGTTATTGCGAACGCTAAATCCGTCTGCAAATATTACAAATGCACCAAAATTTCTAAACTTGAGAGAAACATATGCCAGCAGTTAACTGTTAACCCAGATTCAAGAGTCCTCATAAACCGATCCGATTTTGACCGCAGTGTCAACTTCCTAATACCATATTATTTATTCTGTGCTAATACTATCTATACGCTGGGCCTTTGAAATACAAAAATATGCAGGGCC